TTCTTATTAAATTTTTTTAATAATTCTTTGTTTTTATTAATAAAATATTATTAATTTATTAATATTTTTTTAAAAGGTTGTCATTTTCGAGAGGAAACTACAGCAGTTACTTATTTACCAGCAAGTGAAAGTTATGCATCACTTTGGTGGCTATATACTGAAACAATTGAAAACAATGATAGTGATAATGAATCTTTAGCTGTGAGTATCTGAACATTTTGTCGAGTATGGCAAAAATATTTACCAGGCATAAAATTTTTGTCACCATGTAGTGATTTATGTTATAATATAAATCGATGCAATTTAATTCACAAATTTAGCCAGCATCAGAATTGGAGCAAAAAATTGAAGAATGGAATAGACATATTCTTTGGGCCCAGTTAGAAAGAGAGAATTTTAGGTAGTTTATTTAGAATTTTTATTAAATTTTTTTTTAATTTGCTAAATTTTTATTGTTTTTGAACAAAAGTTGTGTAGCGAATTCCAAATTAGCATTACAAGAATTTCAAAATGCCTCACGACCAGATATACTCAATTCTTTAGATTTCGAAAATCATATTTCCTAGGATTTTGCCAAGGCAGTTCAAATTCCATATTCATCACAGCAGGAGGTAAAATTAAATTAAACAAATGTAACTTTATTTTACAAAATTTAATTTAGTTTATTTTTAAAATAGGGTGCAACATATTTCAAAAGTTTATATAAAGTACAAGTTTTTGGTGTTTGTGAAGATGGGACTCCAAGACAAGTAATTTGTAATCTTAGGCATAATTTTTTTTTTTAATTTTTTTGATTAATTTATCTTTATTAGGTAAATTATTTGATCCCGGAAGATGAAAATGTTGGAAAGGATACCGATACTACAATTTCATTAATCCACCATTATTTTGAAAAACATAGTCTAGGTGAAAAAAGAATAATAATCCATGCAGATATTGTACCGAATAAAACAAAAATAACGCTATGATCATGTACCTAGTGTGGCGCATTGCTAACAATTTACATGAAAAAATTACATATTCATTCATGGTAGCGGGACATACTAAATTTACACCTGATGGATTCTTTGGGTTATTTAAATTAAAGTTGCGACATTTAGAAGTGGATGATATGTGGGATTTAGTCAATGTAGTTAAAGAATCAACCCTTGGTGGATATAATATAGCACAAATAGTCCTCAACAGTGATGGACAATAGGAAGTTTTTTTTATAGTTAGACAGAATTCTTGATTAATTATTTTAATACCGTTCCACAAATTAAAAAACTATATCATTTTATTTTGAGTCAGGATAAAATAGGTTGTGTAGAAATTAAAACAGCAGTAAATGAAGGATCTCAATTAATAAATTTGACAAAGAAAAGACAAGGTATGTCTTTTCCATTATTTCTAAAAGAAATAACACCTAAAAGAATAACACCAGAACGGCAATGGTACCTTTATGAAGAGGTACGATAACATATTCAAGATCTATCTAAGCAGGATTTATATTGTCCTTTGCCTTCCGTTGCAAAGCCAAAAATTCAACAAAAAAAGAAAAATGTATAATAAATTATTGAATACTAATTAAATATTAATAAAAAATGTAATAAAAAAATAAAAAACTGAATGATAAAAATAAGTTTCTTAAAAAAGAAAAGATCGTGAATTATTACGTTTTTAATAAAGAGGGGTAAACAACTCCGCTAAAGTGTCTATTTTCATTAATTACATACTTAAAAATTCCCAAAAATCAATTCGTTAAACAACCCTATAAAAAACCCTATCTGGGCTGATTTGAACTGGCTCGCAAGCTTTACCTAAAAATAAAGAAAAGGAACATTAGTGACGTTCTTACAGTAAAAAAACCATATCCTCCTCTTAACTTACCCTTTCATGATTGAATTCCAAGTCCGGATCAGTTCCTAAAGAAAAAAGAAAAAGGAATGTTAGTGGTGTTCTAATAACAAAAAAAATAATTCCACCCTATTATACTTACAATTCCAAAGTCCGGTCTGAAATCTAAGTCCAGGAAGACCGTCACTAAGGAAAAAAAAGAAAAGGGAATATTAGTAACATTCCTAATTCAAAAAAAAAAATAATAATTCCCACTCCATTGTACTTACTCCAATATCTAATAGGCTAAAGTCAATGTTCACGAAATGTACCTAAAGAAAAAAAAGGAAAGGAATGTTAATAACATTCTCAATTCAAAAAAAAAGATTTTTCCTCTCCCATATTATATTTAGCTTACGAAGTAAATGGTTTTTCTTAAATACCCATTATGTATAGTAGTTAAATAAATTATAAAAAAAAACGCTGTTAGAAAAATAATTTTTTTATTTGATAAAAAAAAGATTATCAACCAATACCGATATGGATCGGATCGGTAAATCATGTGAAACCACAGTTTCATACCATAACTGGTCAGTTTAAATTTATTTATTTTTATTTTTTTACTGAACGGCTACTAAGCCAGCTTGCAGGCCGGTTTGCTCACGTGACACGTGGAGCTTTAAAAAGAAAAAATTATTTTATATTATCAATTTTATTTTATTTTTTTTATAATAAACTGGTGGCGTCGAACCGTTAATTGTAATTGTAGATCATTTCCATTTTAATCAATTTACACGAGTGATTAATTTTCCGATAAAAATAGTATTCTCATTTTTCTCAAAATAATGAAATTACGGATTTCCCCTTTTTTAATTGGCGCATGCCCATATATTTACAAAATCATTTTGGACTGATTCTGAACCTAGTTTAATAAATGCTACTTCTCAAGTTTTTCTTATGACTTCACATTTTTATTACAGGTTCTATTTAACAAAATATAATAAAACATCTCAAAAGAAAGTTGGGTGCAAATTTCCATTTGTTTAATAAAGCTTTCTATTTATGCTAGAATACATTAAATATAGAGTTATTTGAGTAATATTAGAAATCTATGTTAGATGATTTTCCTACATATGAGCATTATATGACATGAATATTATATGCTAATTGAGTTAGTTAGGCTAAAGCTTATATACCATTCCAGTTTAATGTCAGCATTCAGAGTACTCAAAGTATAGAATTATTTAATGGCATTATTAAAAGATCTTTAAATTCTTCCAGTATACTTTATGATGTTAAGGAAATAATTAATAAAAAATATAGAGAAGAAATCAGATATTACTAATTAACAGATCTTAAGGTAAAGAATACAATAATTGAATTTTCACATATTTCTTCTCAGTTTTTTTTCTGATATTAATAAGATTATTGTACAATTTTTAACACTTCTTATATTATCTAAATAATGATATCAACTTTTATAATCTTTTACTTATAAAGAGTAGTTAACTTCATATTTATCTGAAGATATATATGTATGTATTTTTAATAAAATATTATAGTTATTATAATATGCTTCTTATTACTTTATTTATTAATTATTATTTAATTGATTGTAAAACTTATAATCTGATATAAGTGAAACTATAAATGATAATTTTATAGAAGATATAGTTGATAAACTATAAATAATATTAAAAGCTATATTAAAAGGTATGAATATGTCAAACATCATTGAAGTATGGAAAATTCATATAATAGGAGGTCTTTCTTGTAAATATAATTTAGTAATCCTTTTTGCGAATAGAACTCATATTTATATCTGTATAGAAATAATCATAAAAGGAATAATTTATCATTATTTTTAGCGTGTAATGCTCTATTCAGATATTATATTAATATTATACTCATCAGATGGTATAAGGATGATATTTTAATAAAATTAGACAATGCTCTTGAAAATTCATCAGTTCTTACAGCAGTAAAATCTACAATACCATTAACAGTAAATTTCACCCTCCAAAATTTAAAGAATCTTTAAGGATCTTATCATAAAGAAAATACTCAGCAAGTTATTCTACAAAAAAATCGATTTGAAGTAGCATTTTCTATTACTAAAACAGCAATTAATATTGCATTAGAAACTGAAAGTGATAATGAGTTAGTGAAATTATTAAAGAATTTTATATTAATTAAGCAAAATAATCATAATGGCATTAATTCAAAAAATAATATAGGCATAGAGAGTATTGAATCTAATGATAATAATGATAATATTATTTCTCTACAGCAACATTTGATTAATCAGACAACAGATCCTAATGTTACTAAAATTAGAGGAGTCCTGTGCAAAAGAAGATTAAAAAGTGCTATAGAGAGATTAAAGAGAAGAAATCCAATATGTGAAATTATAAGTTAAATTAATATACAAAATACTGATAATAGAGAGGAAAACTTAAGATCATAACAAAAATGTCTATTGTATGGAAAATTAGGACATTACCGAAAGAAATATTCTAGCAAGGGGAATAACAGAGAAGAAAATTAATATTTTATTAATATATATGTATTTGTTGGCTTAGTTGAATATGAAATAGTGTAAATTAATCATATTTTATTTACTATAATAGGAATATTAATGATTTTTACATTTTTGTATTACAAAGAAATGTATAGTGAAGGCAGAGTCATGGGGTTAGCAAATATTTTCTTGTGGTTCATTACATTTTATATTGAACATTTATTTGTTATCAAAAAATATGATATAATTTTGTAAATGGGAGGGATTAATGATCAAACATTAAATCAGAGTTAACTAGATTAGTTCAACTTATAAAAGAAAATCATTATTCAAGGTTGATTTGAATAATAACATTACGCTGTGATTTTGAAAATAACTTTTATAATGTGTTACGTTAGTCAATTTCCTTTATTATACTCTTTTTAGTCTCATTAATTTTTTATTCATCTATTACGTTGTTGGCTTGGTATCTGTAAACTTAAACGATAAACTTTTAATTTGATCTGTTGAATTAAATACAAGACAATATCACAATCACGCCTATATGAAGACACGACAAAAGGCAATAGTAAATGAATTTAACGATTCCTTTATTG